AAAGATTTAAGACAAAACACACTTAAGAATTTACTTAGCTTTTGTGCACACTACCATTCAAAAGTCTGGGCTCAATAAGATTTTTTCATGTTTTGAATTTCTTATGCTCATTCATGTGATCAAAAATACAAATAAAACAGTAATATTGTGAAATATTATTACAATTTTTAAAAATGTAAACTAAAATGAATGAAATAAAGTGAATTTTCAGCATCATTACTCCAGCCATCAGTGCCACATGATCCTTCAAAATGCTGATTTGGTGCTCAAGAAACATTATCTTCTTATTATCAATGTTAAAAACAGCTGCTTAATATTTTTGTGTAAACATGATACTTTTTGTTTCAGGATTCTTGATTATACATCTTTCAGAATATTGTAAATGTCTTTACTGTTGCTCCTGATTAATTTAATGCATCTTTGCAAAGTATTAATTTCTTTAAAAATATATATATATATATTATTGACCCCAAACTTTTGAAAAATATTACTGTTGCTCCTGATTAATTTAATGCATCTTTGCAAAGTATTAATTTCTTTAAAAATATATATATATATATTATTGACCCCAAACTTTTGAAAAATATTACTGTTGCTCCTGATTAATTTAATGCATCTTTGCAAAGTATTAATTTCTTTAAAAAATATATATATACAAACTTTTGAAAAATAAAACTTATTGACCTCAAACAGTACTGTATATAACTGTGCTGCATCCATTGAGGCCAAATATTATCCTTAGTTCTCAGGTACTATATCTTCAATGGAAGCCTATTTCTGTTTTTTTTAAATATAAAAGTAATTGTATGATAATGAATAAAATCAAAAATAAAAGTGACATTGTGAAATATGAAGTAACATTGTGAGACAAAGTCACAATTACAAAATTTAAAGTCACATTAAAAGAAATAAAGTGTGATTGTGAGATATAAGGTCACAATTGTGAGAATCAAAGTTGCAGTTTAGGCAAGATATGAATGTGCAGTTTTAGATACTTGTTAAGATGCATGTATGAAAAATACGTTTCTCTTTCCCTTTCAGGGTTTAATGTGAATCATCTTGACATTGCTCCACGTTATGCCAGCATCTTGATGGGAATCTCCAATGGAGTGGGAACTTTGTCAGGAATGGTGTGTCCTCTCATAGTTGGAGCCATGACCAAACATAAGGTACATACTAATACCACACAACCTTCACATGTCAAATAATTGATTTCTATAGTTTATATTATTGTTAATTAGCTTTATTTATTTATTTTTGCCTGTAGACACGTGAAGAGTGGCAGTATGTCTTCCTCATTGCAGCACTGGTGCATTATGGGGGTGTGATCTTTTATGGTATGTTGTGTTCAGCAAATCATAATTTCAACATGCAAACATGTTAAATCTCTTTTTATTCCACATATAATGAATATTCTAAATTACTTTTGTCATTTCTCTCCTGAAATGCTGGATTTGAATATGTTCTCAGGGATCTTTGCGTCAGGTGAGAAGCAGCCATGGGCGGATGCTGAGAATACCAGTGAGGAGAAGTGTGGCATTCTGGAAGAGGACGAACTGGCCAATGAAACGGAAGAGCTGTACAGGACTGGAGGACAGTACGGAGCTATAAACAATCCCCATGCTGGTGGTCCGAACGGAGGAGGTGCTGGGGCAGGATGGGTATCAGATTGGGATAAAACAGAAGAATATGTTCAACCGGTCGGGACAAATAGTTATTTATATGGCGGAGAGGGAGAGATAGAGCTCACATAGTTGGAAGAAACAGAGTCTATATCTAAGAGTTAAAGGAATAAAGATCAATATGGAGTAAATAAACAGAGAGAGTGAGTGAATGTGTGAGTGTGTGAATAAGCAACAGAGCAAATGAGTTTCCAAACTGATGATCAGATTATGTGATGATTGTTCTATAAACATACCCACTGTAGTGTGTGTGTGTGTTGATGCGAGTCATTTGGGTTTCAGATTGAGAATACAGCGGTGCTCTGTGAATTATATGTTCAGTATTTTAGGCTTCCTGACAAAATCACTGTAATGCACTTAAAATGACACAGCGATATTAGACATGTTCATGGTTGTGGTGTACGAGTATACAGTATATGAGCTTCTCTGTGTGTGTGTGTGCTCATGGTGAGTGTGTATGTGTAAGTTTCCATATTGTGCACAGTTCCTTTTGTTTTATCCAGTGCTTTAAATGGTAAAAGGGTTGAAGCAAATCAATGGACGTGTAGACATTTATTTGATCATAAGTTTGTGCACTTATACATGATATCCTTAAAGGGACAGTCACCAAAAATGAAAATTTAATTTTAAATATTTTAAATATATGGTTTAATATATAATGATTGAATTTTCATTTTGGCCTAAACTATTCTTTAAACATGACTGAATGTGTGTGCAAGTTTAAACGACCCAGATCCTCATTGGGTCAGTGCACAAGCGTGTTTTCATCCTTTGATGTACTATATTAGTCACATATAGTCGTTTTCACAAGCTTACACACATGCACACATATTCAATAAATCTGTGGATGAATCTATTTTGCGCACGTTGAAGGTTTACTGATATTACTGCCAGGCAAACTTATAATCATTTACACATTACATTTATGCATTTACAGACACTTTTATCCAAAAGGTATACATGGGAACTTACATTGCTGATGCTGATGCCACGAGTCAAAATATATCCACACGCACAAACACAGAAAATGCCAGGTGAATTACAAGGTGTAAGTGCCGAAATTCTGAGAAGTGTGTATGTGTAAGTTTCCATATTGTGCACAGTTCCTTTTGTTTTATCCAGTGCTTTAAATGGTAAAAGGGTTGAAGCAAATCAATGGACGTGTAGACATTTATTTGATCATAAGTTTGTGCACTTATACATGATATCCTTAAAGGGACAGTCACCAAAAATGAAAATTCTGTCAGTAAGTGCCGAAATTCTGAGAAGTTGATGAGTTGGTTGTATTCTCAGCATATGCAGATTTCATCATGTGCATCCATTTAGAGGCCATTCAGTCAGTGCAGTATGATCTTAGGGAATCAGTCAGAAAACAGCATTAGGGAATGGAAAGAGGATGATTAATTATTGACCAACTGATTCTGCCCTTTAATTTGGTGTTATTCTGCTTCATGTGTTTGTAATTTGTTGCGCTTATTTCCTGAATCTTTCATTTGTTTCTTTATTTTGTTTTCCTAAATGTAACTTGACTTGTCAGCACAATATAAACAAAACAACAAAAAACATGTTTTCCCTTTGTAGGAAAAACTGAAATAATAATAATAATATCATTTAAAAATGTGTACAAATTGTATATGTGAAAATTCCCTGTGTACAATAAAACGAATTAAATGTATAAACTGTGTATTATTTATTCTTTGCACTAATAACCGATCAAACAGGCACAAGAAACTGCTCGAGATAGCAGACGTGTGGTAGGCGATGTGTTTGTATGAATCTGCATCACAATACAAGCCAAATTCTATTTTTTCCAGCATCACTCTGATTACTTGCCCACGTGCACGCCACGCTCATCAGTTTTTTTTTTCCAGTTTATACCTTTATTCACCCTCCCTAATGCTCCTCTCCACCCACAGAAGGGCATCTGCTGTTCTCTAATCTTTGCCTAAAATCACCAAGATAATCCCTCTATCCATCTGTCATTCAGAGAGAGAAAGAAAGCATCTTTGCACCAGAGAGTTTTTTGTTGTTGTTGTGTTGTCAGTGACATCTAGTGGTTAAAACGAGTAAACTAAAAATAAGCTAAAATAATAGCGCTTTATATTTTACCATATTCAGATTCAAGTAGATTTGGTAAAAGGCTTTACATTGCCAAACAATTGGTAACATTAAATTACAGACATACACATTTACGCGTATATAAAAAAAGAATGCATAATAATAAGGAAAAGGCAAAAACATTACACAAATTAGTTGTTTAAATGCTCTACACCAGGGGTGCCCAACCCTGTTCCTTGAGATCTACCTTCCTGCAGAGTTCAGCTCCAACCCTGATCAAACACAACTGAACCAACTAATTAGGATCTGAAGGAGCACTTGATAATTACAGACAGGTGTGTTTGATCAGGGTTGGAACTGAACTCTGCAGGAAGGTAGATCTCCAGGAACAGGGTTGGGCACCCCTGCTCTACACAATGATTTTGTTTTATTGGGAACATTTTTTGTTATTATTTATTACATTACTTATTAGACTTTAGCAATTGACTACGTTTACCCTTTAATGGATTGTAAACCCTCTGCAGACTTAAGTGACAACTAAGTAATGATAATAAAATTATTATTTGCCAAATGCTTTATTTGCAAATACAACGAGGCATTAGGTTTAGGAAACTAGCACTAAATGTACTTTCTGAGGTATATATTTTATTTTCCTTTAAGGGCTAGGTGTTCAGCGGAGACCTTTGATGGCTTTTAGTTTTTTTTTTTTACTTCAATAAACACAGTCAAAGTACAGTTAGGACTACAATAATACACATGAAATCATAAAACACAAACAAAAAAAAATATATAAAATACTAAATATGTATACAAAATACATCAACTGCCAGGGTGTGGGTTAAACATTATGTAAATATGTTGAAGGACTTACAAATGGAGACCGTCTTAATTGCTTTCTTATTATGTAAATAAAAAAATAGTCTTAACATAAATTTGAATTTCTTTTTCAAGAACCCAAAATAAAGGATTGATTTTACTGTACTTACACTTATGAATATGAAATTTAGCTAAAATTAAATTTATAATGTAGTACTCTTTCCTTTTATTTGAGGACCTTTGATGGCTTGACGTGCATCTCTGGCCTTTTAATATGTAAAACGAATCCGATTGGTCCAAATTCACGGGGCGGGACATCAGTGAGAAATTGGAAAGAGGTATTGCACTACCATTGGTCAATACTTACTTCCGTTTATTCCTCGCCCAATAGAATTAAAAAATCTGACAGGCCGGCTAAATCTCACTGGTCATCTCCTCCAGTGATCCCGCCTCCTCCTCGCCCTCAGTGAATCTGGGAGAGTCTTAGCCGAGAGGAGCTAATTCCTCTACGGGTGGATTTATGTGGGTTTTCGTAAAATTTGAACAGACTGGAGAAACATAGTTAAGATAAGAAGAATTTTTGGTGTTTTTACGGGTGGATTTTCATCAGCCCGAATACTTCCAGCCTGTCTTCGACTCTCGGGAGAGTTTAGTTAGTCTGGTCGATCGTAATGTGGCTCAGGGGCTAATCCTTGGACTTCATTCAATACTAATTCATCTCGAAGCGCTTCGTTTGGGCGAGCCGAACTGATTTAACAACCACTCACGAGGTAAAATACACAAATAAGCCGATAAATAACTTCTTACCTGTTGATAGAAGTTGAGATAAAGCTATAAAGAGCTTGTAAATGTAAAAAAATGTGATAGGAACTGTTTAAACGTTATCTTAAACCACAGTCTTAAATGTCTTTAAATATGATTTGTTGATAATGCAGCAACTTAAAATCCCAGTCAACCATTTTATGTAATATGTATGTTCTTTTCCAGTTATTAAAGGAACAGTTCACCCAAAAAAAGGAAAATTATGTCATCATTTACCCACCCTCATGTTGATCCAAGCCCGTATGACTTTTCTTTCTTCTGTGGAACGCAAAAGGAGATGTTACGCAGAATGACAGCCCCAGTCACCATTCACTTTCACTGCATTTGTTTTCCATACAGTGAAAGTGAAGAGCGACTTATCCTTTTTGTGTTCAGTCTTTTAACGCTGCCATAATTTGTATAAGTGTATCAGTCAGAGTGAGAAGCTTGTATCTGTAAAGGTTATGTTTTTCCTAATTTGCTCCTGATTAAATCCAATGATACTGCTATTTTCTGTTTCTAACCCTCTCCCCATCCACCTTCTCTTTCTTCCATCCAGAATGACAGAATACAAGCTGGTAGTTGTCGGGGCTGGTGGCGTTGGGAAAAGTGCTCTGACCATCCAGCTCATTCAGAATCACTTTGTAGACGAGTATGACCCCACTATTGAGGTAAGAGTTCACCTTCTTTAAAAGGGTATTCCAACCAAAAATGAAATTTGTCATCTTTTACTCCCCCTCATTTCAATCATGCATGAATTTCTTTCTTCTGTGGAACACAAAACAAGATATTTTGAAGAATGTTGGTAATCAAACTGTTTTGTTTTCTGTTTTGTTGTTGACTTCCATAGTATGGACAAAAAGTTCTTTTTATGTCTATTCCATGCAGGATTCTTACAGAAAGCAGGTTGTGATTGACGGAGAGACGTGTTTGCTGGACATCCTGGACACCGCTGGTCAGGAGGAGTACAGTGCCATGAGAGATCAGTATATGAGGACAGGAGAGGGCTTTCTGTGTGTGTTTGCCATCAACAACGCCAAGTCCTTTGAGGACGTACATCTTTACAGGTACATAGCCAAACACATGTGGACAAACTGATATATGTAAACAATATTCGGCATTGGTTACCATCAAATAGTCTTTGTGTTTATTAGTCACGTTGAATCAATGAAAGCAGTTGAATCTTCTGTTTATTCAGCTGCAGATAGGCATTTTCTGGGTTTCTTCTGCAAGGCGTATTTGGAGTTTCAGCGCGAGAGCGCCCTCTGGCCTTTGGATGGAGATTTACTGCTGATCACAGAACCGTGCTTCACTGAAAGATACGCATGACAATCGCAGCTTCTGTCGAATCGCGATCTCGATTCCATTTCGATTTATCGTGCAGCCCTATTTCAGACAATAAGATAATCCATCTAAAAATGAAGATTGTCATTATTTACTCACACTCATGTCATTCCAGACCTGCATGACCTATTTTCCTCTGTGGAACATTAAAGATGTTTGGAAGAATGCTGGTAACCTAACAGTTTCGGGTTCCATTCACTTTTGTTAAAGTGAAACATTTTTGGGTGGACTGTCCTTTTAACACTCTTATATTATATCTTGGATTTGTGTACCTAGACTGCATGATGGGTCTGTGTCGACTAACCGCAAATAAAGCTTTTTACTTCCTGAAACCTTAGAATATGATAAAATGTTGCTAGACTGATTTTAAGCTAAAAAAGAAACAGGATGCAATTCAGTAGGATGACGCCACTGAACTGCATTGATATACAAACTTCCTTTTTTTATGTGATTTAAAGTTGATGAGTAAGGAAACCATTGTGGGACTAGAGAAATGCCTAGTAGAATTTCACAAATCACTCTGTGTGGAAAAATCAACCGTGTTGTGCTTTGTTTCTGTGCAGGGAGCAAATAAACCGTGTCAAAGACAGCGACAATGTCCCGATGGTGCTGGTGGGGAACAAAAGTGACCTGGCCTCTCGTACTGTAGAGACGCGTCAAGCCCAAGAGCTCGCCAGAAGTTACGGGGTCCCATTTGTCGAAACATCTGCCAAGACGCGACAGGTGTGTGGCACTGATTTTAAAGTAACACAAAACAGTTTCTTGCATTCCACTGCTCTGCTTTTCTATTGTTTTTCTGTGTAAACTTCTGCTAGACAGGAGCATTTGACCATTGTGCTCACATCTCGTGTCTTTTGCAGCATCTCGCACATGACACACAATTCTAGAAACACAGCGTGTTTTTTTAAAAACACTTTATTAGTATAGGATAGTGTAGAAATGACAGGAAGGGAAGTGGGAGAGAGAGAAGAAGGGGGTGGGATTGGGAAAGGTCTTCGAGCTGGGATTCGAACTCGGGACGCCCGTAGCGCCACAGAACACATTTTTGCATTTTAAAAATACGAGACACAGGACAGTGGAGTGGACGCAAGATCTATGCCCAAACAGTTTACTACAGTGGGCCAAAAATGAAACTAAATGTTAACATAAAACATAAAAATGAAATGACAGGAAGGGAAGTGGGAGAGAGAGAAGAAGGGGGTGGGATTGGGAAAGGTCTTCGAGCTGGGATTCGAACTCGGGACGCCCGTAGCGCCACAGAACACATTTTTGCATTTTAAAAATACGAGACACAGGACAGTGGAGTGGACGCAAGATCTATGCCCAAACAGTTTACTACAGTGGGCCAAAAATGAAACTAAATGTTAACATAAAACATAAAAATGAAACAACAAAAGGTTAAAACAAAAAGATAAATTAATAAGGCTGATGTGCTTCTATGAAAGACTTTTTCTTGTTCTTCCCCTCTCTTGTGAAATGCCATAGTGGGCCAAATCAAATTCATCATGGGCCAACTTTTGCCCATTTTTTTAATTTTTTGTACTACTTGCTCGAGTGCTGTGTTTTTAGAACACGGTGTCATGTGAGACTCTGCAAAAGATGAGAGATGCAAGTGCAACAATCAAACATCTAGCAGATTTTACAAAAAAACAACAACAACAACAATGGAATAGCAGCGCAATGGAATGCAAAAACATGTTCTGTGTGAATGTTCCTTAAACATGAATGAATATGGCTGCATTAGATGATGAAATATCACACCAAGTGATTGAGAAACCGAGCACACTAATCAAGCAGAATATTTCACAGCAGTTTGATAAGATTTGAGATGATAAAAGAGTTTACACTAGACTTCAGTCACACGCCCTCTCCAAAACCCAACCCTCCAGAAGCATGTCAGCAAACCTGAAGACACAATGATGGTGATGACAGGACGAGTGTGCATTTGTTTATTTTTCTGGGGGCAAATCAGAGTAAAAGTATCATGTTTGTCATTTCATAATGTGCATTAGACGTTTTGACAACCAAAACTTTTGTGATTTCTCCTTGGCACCATTAGTTGTAGATCTGGCTTGTCTTTTTCTGTCTGCAGGGAGTTGAGGAGGCATTTTACTCTCTCGTGCGGGAGATCCGAAGATACAAGGAGACAAACCGCAGCAATAAGAAGAGCAAAAAGCACACACAGAGACGCTGCACTCTTTTATAGCGCTACACGCGTACAGCCTCGCACTGCCACCCCCGTGATAGCAATGCACTCAAGGCCACATACACACACACACACGCACACACACTACTGTAGCATTACACATACATACACACCCCATTTCCTTTTCTTACCACTCTCTTACTCCACCAGCCTTTGAGGAATAGGAACCTGACTGGCTGTTGTATGTGTTTGTATGTATGTGCGCGCGCATGCGACCTCAGTGAGAATCGAGCAACTGTGGAATTACTTTGGAAAAGACATATTTCCAAATTCGTCTAGTCTCAAGTGGACTCGTCAACTTTGAGCTGCTGCTTCCCCTTCTGTGCTAAAAAGACCCGATGTGTGTCATAGTTTTACAGTTGTATTTTAGAGTCACAGCAGCAAGGAATCTTGTTTATAACAAATTCATCAGGTGGTGAAGGGATATACTTTGTCGGTAATGGGTAAGTGTTTTTAAGTAAGCCTGATCACATCTCATCTCTTCAAAACTTTGTGAGCCAGTCAGCACATCCGTGTGCTTCTGTTAACAGTGGTCGGGAAAGAGGAAGCTCAGAAGTCCCCTAAAGTTTTAGTGGCCTGTGAGAAAGCACATTAGAGCCACTAATGTAATTTTTAGTACTTGCTCCATCAAATGGGGTTTCTGTAGTTGTCACCCTGTTTTTCTTTGTACAAAATTTACATTTGATCAATTTCTCTCCAGGTTACTATTGTTGTCATGGCTTGGACTAAAACTTAGCTGTCCTACACCTAATGTAGACCTTCTATAATTATGAAATGCAGAAAAAAATCAAGCAGTATTTTATGGTAAAATCCTGTATTTTTGTAACCGTTAATATTGAATCATTTCAGTACATAGACCAGCATTGTATTGGACATTAACATTTCATGTATTATGATGAATTGTGTAACATGCCAGTTGTTCCCACCTGTGATGAGGCTTGGTTGGGAGGGCGAGACATTTATTTTATTTTTTTTTTAAGATTGACAGGAGAGACAGTAATGGTTTTGGTTCAGGCTAAACACGTGACCAAAACTTGTGATTGATGCATTGCCTTTGCCACATTGATAACTGTAGTTATACGTTTTGTGAATAAAGAGACTTTTGGCTAGATGACTGTGATTTCCTCAATATTCAAACCTCCAATTGTAGTTGAAACTGAACTTTTCAGTTATTATATCTGCTTTAAGTGTTACAACAGGTATAGAATGTGCTATTATGGTCATACCAGAGCAGTCGTACGTTTTTTTTCTTAATATAATCAGAAAAGCTGATCTAGTGAGATTTTTTTGTGTGTATTTTTGAAATGTCATTCTCAAAATCTCAAAAATCTGATATGTGCTATATATGGCCACATGTACAGTAGTAAGTGCTCTTGAGTAATACACGGTTTTGGCCAAAAGTAGCTTTAAGAGACAAAAACAGTTGCTTAAGTTAAAACAATGAGGAACTGTTAGCAAGAAATAATCCTTTTTTAAAAAATTATTCCTATAATTTCACCATATGACCTAGGTTGCCTGAGAAAGATTCTTGTTCTGGTATTATCCATGTGGAATTTCAAATACCTGTATGTAACCCTTAAGCATATAGCTTGGACTTAGGAATATAATGACAGAAACCAAAACATGCATGAATGCAATATATGGGATATATAAAATATTGCCTAGGGTGATGTTTGATTTTTTTTTCTCTCTTTCCCCTTGGTTTCTGAACGCTGCTGAACTGAAAAAAAAAAATCGTTACAAAAGTAGGTTTACGGTAAAGGATCATTTTTAAGACAAAAGCTATGAGTTGAATCTCAGATAACAGATTTACTTAAAGCCCAAAACCTGGTCACCATTACTGCGATTACTTTTTTTTTCCGGATAAAAATAAGACATTTCAATCCATTTCCATCTGATGATAGCATTTTAAAAATAATATTGACATTAGAATTAAATAAATGTATTTTTTCATAACTATGGGAACAGCCATTATGCCTTCATTTCACACTTAGACCTGTAATGAATAAAGATTTTGATTAAAGAAAACTCTATGATCAAAAAATATTTATAAGCGGCAGTCCGCAACTTTTTTTGTTCATAATTTACAAAATTTATATAATAAGCAAATACATCATGAATCAAGTTTCCAAACTGTGTTTTTGGCTTATCCTGAATCACTACAGTACATCTACAATAATAAGTTTTTATATTCGGACTATTTTAGACTGGTTCTGGTGGGAAGCGCTGCGGAGCACCACAGTACCTGCATGACTCGTCATAGACAAACAGAAAAGCAGCTCCGGCTACAATGTTCATCTACAAGACACACGCAGTTCGGTTTATTAACCGCAAGAGCGCCAAAAGGTACGGACTGCAGCTTTAAGTATAATGTTAAATCAGCCAAGAGAAGACACCCATTTGACAAAAAATGCACTTTATTTATTTATTCAGCGACTAGAAAATGATGATTCTTTACAAAACGGAGCGAGACAGACTGAGGTAAGATGAAGAATGAATGTTGAGAAAGCTGAAGGCAAAAGAAAAGATCCTCGTCCATCACCAACCAAAACGGGAGACGAGCTTCTCCTGATCGTCTAAATCTTTCTGCACTTTCTTCCTCATGTAAAAGATGGGGCTGTCTCGACTGAAAAAGAAAGAAAACAAAAAATTGTTTTATTCATTACCACCAACAAAAGTAATTATACTATAGAGAATATTTGATATATTGTAAATACTTGGTACACAGCACATCTTCATGCAGTGAACCTTGACAGCGCTGACACTGAGTCCACAGACGAGAGAATTTCTCCTCCAGAGTCGACAGATGAGCGATCTAAAGGACACGGATCTACAATCTTCAGCCCCACTTATGAAGTGTTTGAGTACTGATACTGAGTAATATCACGTTTGCCATGATTTGTACAAATATAAACACAAAAACACACCTCTTTCTGATAAAGCTCCGACTCTCTCTTTTTGCAGAAGTCACATACAGCCACTGTAGAGTGGAAAACATCAAGTACGTCAGTTTTGTGATTTGTGGTACTACTGAGACCTAAACACACACACCTAATACATACCATCAGTTTTGAGCACAGCTCGGCAGCCAATGCATGTGCTTTGTTTCTGAGCGAAAGCCATGAGACCACCAACTCTAGATGTCAAGACCGTCTTACAGCGCGTGTGATCGCCCTCTGAAACAACACAGAAAAAGCAGCTGTATTAGGAGAATCATTTCTGAAAGAAATCCTTTTTTACTATAGTTTGCAGTTTGAAATGAATCTGATGAGATCAAAATTTATAACACAAAACAATATAAACATCTTTCTATTATGAAGTTCATGCTGGCTGCACTTTAAAAAAAAAAAAAAATGAACAAACAGTGCAGTTTCACAAATAAATACTCTTATGAGCCGGCTGTTTTAATTAATCATTCATAAAGACTCATAAGAGTCTGAAAAATCCTTCACTGAACAAAATCACTGAACTGGCCAGAACGGGAACTGAATTAATGTCTGACTCACTAAAAGTAAGGTCACACATTTACTGTTGTTTGGTGAATTTTTTGCAGTCCTTTCAATAGGAATCTTTATAGGAATAGGAAATTTTGTATGAAGGCCAAACATTTTCCCAGACAGATTGTGCAGCGGGTTCACGTGGGTCAGAGAGCTGCTTTGTTTGAAAGGGACTTCTGTGTGAGTTGTTGTTTCATTCTTTGCTACACTACTGGCAAAGAACAATAGACCTTTTTTTTTTTTGCACACAATTTCACCTGAATGAAACACACCTTTCAAGAAACTGCAAGTCATTACTTTGAGTGATGTCTAACTTGAAATGAAGCAAGAACTGTTCAGTGTACTGAACTTAAATCAGTATTATTACTGGCAAACATCAACAGAGAGAAGTCTACTGTTTCACAAAACATCTTTATGAAACATAAGGTTAAAAAAAGTTCCAAAATAAAACATGAAAGCATCTTTCACAATAGGATCTATAACATGCATTTTCAATACAGATCATTTTCATTCCACGCCAACTTCAAAGCTTAATATATGATACTCACTCAGCAACACACTCTCAGCTTTGCTCTCGCCCAGTATGGGTTCAAAGATGCGCAGTAAAGGTTTGGACAGCTGCTGCTCCAGGTAGTACTGTGTGTCTATAGGGATGTTGTTCTCCAGCACATAGATGGGGTCCTGAGAGATAGAACTCAACATAAACAACTACAGTGCAGGAAATCCGCCACATAAAAACAGGCAATACACAACACTGACCTCTGATTTCATATATGCTGCCACTCCCTTTGCTGCTTTGATGATGACGTACGGGACTCGATCTCCGAGGTTTGGAGCGCTACCGGCATCACGCTTCCGCATCCTAAAACCCACGTTTGTGAAAAGTGTTATTGTGCTCGAGTGAACTACTTGCATACCTTCAAACCCTGAATTTTTCATCTAAAAATGTCTTGAAATAAGCAGCTGCAATCGTTTCGGAAAGTTCTCATTTTAGAATAGAGCTCCATGTTATTGAGGTGGCAACACTCATTTGAAAAAAAACAACAACAAAAAATACCAATGTCTACAATAACATCCTAAACTGTAAAATGACCAGAAAAACTTTTTAAAAGATTTAAACAAAGTTTCAATAATACAATTTAACAAAAATAAACCAGTGTTAATTTAGAATCACTAATATACTATTATAGTTAGTTAATATTTAGAATTTTATATTTTCCGTTTTTCACTTTAAATTCAACATGTTTAATTATTTGCATTCTTGTCATTATTTTTATATAATAATATATATTATAACTATATTTTATATAATTTTTATTTATTAATTTAGTTTTAGTTATTCTACTTCTAGTTAAACAAAAAAATGAGAAATGTTACCTTGGCAGCCGGCTGAGGGAAAAATAATTTTTTAAATAATAATATTTGATTTAATTTCCATTCATGTTTGTTTTATTTCAAGTAACAAAATTGTTTTCTTATGGTTTTAGTTTTAGCTAACGAACCCTGTACTGAACAAAAATGGTCATCTAAATGAAAATGCATATTTACTCTCTGACAGTAGGTGGCGCTTATGGAAAAGCAAAAATACAGAGGTTACCATGATTATCCCTGTGCACAAAAGCAGCTGTACTTATAAACACCAGGCATCATACAGAGGCATGCCATCTAAACCGTTCTATACACAGTTCCCTTCAGATAATCGTAAATAAAAACTCCTCGGATTTGTCTCAATCAGGAGAATGGCACATTTCAGTGTCAGAATGGAGAATTTTTAACAGTCCAGATAATAAAAACAAACACGCACCTCTCTGCTAGCTCAACGTGGGCCTGTTTGCCGGCATACTCCTGTGCGGTGCGTGTGAGCTCTTTAGTTATGACCAGCTGACTGATGTCAATGCGGTTGCACAGAAGGTCAGAGATCACCTCTTTAGCATGAGCTACTGCTCCATCAGGGTCTCTGAAACACAAAACACATCGCCATGCCATGTGAATTAATGTGCGTATTGGTATATGCAAGGCGTGTTGCAACCCTAACAAACAAAAATGGCTTTTGTTAAGGCTTGTAGAGTCATGTCTTCACTCTTACACATGTTAGTTTGTGCGTCACTGTTGCGTATCTGAGCACATGGGGGTTTTCGGAGTGTGTCAATGTTTGTACCTGTCAATGAGGATGTTTTGGAGGCATGTGTTGATAAGGTTGGCCACTAGAGGGCAGTTGTCTCGTCTGACGGTCTCAATTCCTTTGCAGTCCATCTTATCATGATGTTCAGCATTAGAAGAGAAATACAACCCGGCGTACCGCTTCTTATTGATCAGCAGATATGGGTAATAAACCTGAAAAAGTGTGAAAGAGATTATTAAGCTTCTTAGGAATAATACTTGATGGATTCTGTTGTGAAATCTTGGGAGTTATTTCTGTACCTTCTCAAACTCTAATTTGATTGGTGGAACGAAGTGGGAGGAAACCCAATCGGCAGCCTCCTTTCCCAGATTCATTGTTTCCTGCACTGTGGCCAGACCTAGTTTCACCATCACAGAGTCAGTGTCTCCATAGATGACCTGAAACACATTTGACTTGCATCACTGCATGTTTTCAGTGCAAGGTAAAAACA